TAACATTTGTTATCTCTTGTCTTTTTGATGATGACTATTCATGTCAAGGAGCTTTATTCATATATTTTCTGTTAGAAGTTTCATGGTTTTATTCTTTTAAAATTTTATGGAAGCTTTATTACATACAATAATTGAAGAAATCAATGGTCAGTGGTGACTGGACTCAATCTCCAGTCCCTCTCCCCACTCCTGAAGTCTGTGGTGGGGATTCAAGTGTGGGATTAAAAGTTCTACCTCATTGGGTCTCCCCTGGTGGCGCAGGTGGTTGAGCACAGTGCTGTGAAGTTGTCCACAGCCTCCGCAGCGCCGGTTCAATCCCTGCCAGCCAGCAAGTCCCACATGGCGTGGCAGACCTCTCCTGTCTTGCCCACTGCTCCCCTCAGCAGTGTATTTCGTCAGCCTGCCTGTTCTGTTCCCCACTCTGTCTCTGGTGAATCCTCTCATCCTCCTGTGCCTATACCCGGGTTCTTGTATAAATAAATAAATAAATATTTTTTTAAAAAAAAATTCTACCCCATTAATCATGCAGTTGATTCCCATGATGACTAGCCCCTGTCTTTCAGTGCTTTCCATAAGTCACTTCATTAACATAAATAAATTCAGGTGTGAATGAAGGGGTTTGTTATGAATAACAAGGCACCTCTATAACTCTCTTAGGAAATTGCAGGGCTTTAAGAGCTCTGTGGAGAGGAGTCCTTTCAAACATCAAAAACTTTATTAGGTTTCTAAGGTTCCTTTAGAATCTGGAATAGTTCAGATACCTTCGTGGAGTTTTTCACACCCTACAGATAATACCACCAAATCTTGTTGACTATCTTTAAAGATATGGCAATGCAAAAACATATAGCATTGCAACATTTTGAATCATACCATACATATAATGTTCATCTCTTTTCCAAATGAACATCTGTCTTATTTTCTTGTTTCCATCCTTATCTGCTTCCACTTTCATCTAAGCATAGCAGACAGTAGTCTTGTTGAAATGTGAATCAGATCATACTATTGTGTTTCTCAAAATAGATCAATGTATCAATACTGTAGACAGAGAAACTGAAATCTGGTGGAGTTTTACAGCATAGGAGAAATGTTTATTTGAAGCTTAGTACTGCAGCCCAGGGTACACAGACCCTAGAAACTCTGGAATTGCATGTTCCAGTCGCCCAGGGATGTATGCACTCCTATGTTCATCAAAGCGCTACTTGTAATAGCCAAGCTATGGAAACAACCTCATTGCCCAAGGAAGGTGAATAGATTAGGAAAATGTGGCATATACACAATGGAGTACTACTCAGCTATCAAAAAACAAAAAGATAAAATCTTGGCATTGAGATACCATGGATGAAACTGGAGAAGATTATGCTAAATGAAATAAGATAGGAGAAAGTCAAACACTGGATGGTGTCACTTATATGTGGAATACAGAGAAACAAAACAAACAGCCAGATAAAACCAAACCATTAACAAACCCTAGAAATCTGACTGTAGAATTGAAGTCACAGGGTGGGAAGAGGAAGGGAAATGGAGAAACTAAAGTGGGGAGGGGTTACAATAGACTATGGTGGAGGACTAATGGGTGCTTTGGTGTTGGGTGTGGTGTGGTAGCAAACCTAAAGGATGGGATACTATACCTATAAATCGTGCAACGTGTAAACCAATGTTGCCTCAAAAAATATATATATATATGTATAATAAAGGTAGACTAGTTCACATTCAAGTCCATGTTATGCAAATGAAGTTTCAATCAGTTTTTTTAAAAAGATTTATTTGTTTATGCATCCAAGAACTGGGGTGTAGACCAGAGGTATGGGGGTTGAGAGGATTCACCAAAGAAAGTGGGGGGTAGAAAAGGCAGATCTACTGAAATACTGAAATACACTGTTGAGGGGAGCAGCAGGCGAGTCAGGAGAGGTCTGCTGCACCATGTGGGTTAGCTCCCTGGCTGGCTGGGGATTGAACTCAAGCTGCAGTGCTGGTGATAGTTTGATAGCTCTGTCTTTAACTGCTTCACCACCAGGTAGGCCCTCAATCAGTGTTTTGATTGGTGAAAAGTTTGTCAGCAGTAATTGGTGAAGTTTCAATCCTAAGTGATCTGTGTTGGGTGAGTTTTATTTCAGCTTCTTCTAGGAGGTAGCTGTGTTTGAACATGCCTGGACATGTATGTCAGAGAGCTAATAATGCTCAATTGTCTCCCATCTCTGTTTTACTTACCCAGACTCAAATGACTCCAAAATGTTTCACATTTCTTGTCAACACATATGTCTAGACCACACACATAAATGTACATGTGCACATACATAGCCACATCAGTTATATGTATTAAATTTCTATTTTGCATTCATTAAATGTCATTTTTTTACCATCCAACTTGCTCTCCTAGTTATTTGCCTTCATTATGTTTCACTAAAGTGAACATAATTGTTTAGCTATGACCTTAGAATTACACCATTTATTACCTTCCTTGTTCTGAACACTTTCTAATAACATTCTCCTTGATTTCATTAGCAATTTTGACTATCATATTCTTCAAGTCACATCAAACATTTAGTCAAGTAAAATTCTTAGCCCTTTTTAAAAGTAAATTCCTATTTAATCCTCCCTAACCTGCACTTGATCAACAGATACTCTTAACCCAAATATAGAACTTCTTGTGCATCATAAAGACATCCACTCATTTTAGTATTGATTCACTTATAAGCACTTCTGAGGATTTGTAGTTTTCTTTGAACCCATTATTTCATAAATCATCATGATTTTATATAACATATTTTTTAGAATATTTTGCAGATATTTATAATCTTTAATATGTTAGAAAGAATTTTCTACTAAAATCAAGGCATATTATGACTATGCTATTTTTATAATTTACCCATTATAAGAGCCATAAACATAAGAGATGAGTTGAGTTTGACCATAACTCACTACTCAGGAAACGATGTGCATTCCATATGATCAACAATTTCTTTTTCCAAATATTAATGAAACATTAGCTAGTAATATTTTAAGATTATTTTTGAGAATATTTGATAATGTAGCTTCCTCTTTAAAAATCAGAGCATTTGTCATTTTTCAGTCTTTGGTAACTTTTTTTAAAAAAGATTTGTTTATTTATGCATACCAGAACGGGTACAGGCCAGAGGTGCGGGTTGGGGTGGGGGGGGTGGGGGGGTGAGAGGATTCACCAGAGACAGAGTGGGGAACAGAACAGGCAGACTGACTGAAATATACTGCTGAGGGGAGCAGTGGGTGAGGCAGGAGAGATCCACTGTGCCATGTGGGTATCTCCCTGGCTGGGGATTGAACTTGTGCTGCAGTGGCTGTGGATGGCCCCATAGGCTGCGTCCCAACCCCTTGTGCCACCAGGGAGGCACAAATGGGTGCACAAATGGGTGTCTTCTACTCTTTTGACTTTTGAAGGTACATGACATCATGGTTAAGAGTGTTGACTCTAGACACACACTGCTCAGGTCTGTGACCAGCTCCATCACTTTCTAGCTACCAGACCTGGGGCAAGTTGTGAACCTTCCCATGTCCAATTCATCATATGTAAAATAGGAAAAATATTAGTACTACTTTCATAAAAAGTCATTGCAATATTTAAATTACCTTACATGTAAAAACCTTCAGAGTAGTAACTAACACATAATACGCACTACATAGCTATCTTATGTTTTTGTTCCTAGCTTTCTTAAGCGCTTTATGTTTTTTCAAGAATTAATCTCTTTACTTTGAAATTTGAAATTTACTTTGATACTTGATCATGATTACCTTCACTGTGGGGTTATCAGTCACCCCTAGCTTTCTACCCTTGCTCTACCTACACAGACTATTTAGTCCATTTCTTTCTCCTTAGTGAAAAAAAAAAAATCTGCTTTTCTTATCCTTTTATTCTATTGTTTTTATAGTGTTTACTTGTTATAAGAGAATGTGTCTAACAAACACTGGCACTTATTATACTGGAAGGACTGATTACAGGTTTGCTTATTTTGTCTTTTCTCCATAGCACTAGATCCTAAGCTTCTTGGGTTCAGAAAAAATATCTTACATATCATGCCCTTGTCAAAAGTTCATAAATAGAATAAATAAAACCAAGAAATCACTGAAGTAGTAATTAGTAAAAGTGTATTGTGCACATAACCCAAAGACGGCAAACTGGGAACTACAAAGAACACATGCAATGAAGCTCAGTTGTATATTGTTATAAAGCAATTTGCATAGTGAGGAGGCAATGATAGATTGTAACAATAGAGTTTTCTTCATTGACAGTTTTCTTCAATTGTTCAGTGGTTACTTCATATCAATTTTGGGAACAGATTAATTTTTGCTTATGATTTCCAGAGGCATAAGCAAGGAATGACCCAAGTCAAATCAGTCTTGCAAAAGAAGCTAAACTTGCTTTGCTTGTGTGACTAAACCGATTTTGTCTGCTTAGGTAATTTTCAAGGTTGGTCTTCATTTATATTTTATTTTAACACACTTCAATCAGTTCCCGGTTGGAAAATAAATATGCTTAGTAGAAAGTTAACAATGTAATAGCATCTTTATATTACCTATATTTCAAATATTTTAATGCCAAAACTAGATAATATATGTTTGGTACATTTGTATTCACTGACACTCAATTTCAAGTCTCCATATATCTGAAGGGCAGCCAACATTATCCATCTCCATAAACAATGTAGGCTAGAGAGTCTAGTTCAAAGTCAATAAAGACTTAGCTCTAGGTAAGGATTTAGTGTGGATATACCCCTTTTTGTTTCCTGTTTCATTTACTTTCAGATTTGAACATAATTGCAAACTGCTTTACTATGTCACTAAAGACCTTTTGGTATATTCTGCTTTGTATTTACTAATGCTACCATACAAAATATGACTATTCACAAATAAGATTATGAATAACATATCTGCTTATATAACATTTAAAAACATTAGAGACTTTGGAAACTTAAATCAGAAACACTCATTGACAAAGTCTAAAAATCTCTTGTTATAGGAGATAATCAACAGAGAAATGAAAATGCTTCTTCAAGTTCTATAGCCACTGAAGTGTTGAACCAGAGTATATGAGGTGGGACTTTATTTTTTTAAAGATTTATTTTATTTATGCATACAAGAGCTGGGGTGTAGGCCAGAGGTGTTGCGGCGATAGTGAGAGGATTCACCAGAGACAGAGCAGGGAGCAGAATAGGAGGATCTACTGAAATACACTGTTGAGGGGAGCAGCAGGCGAGGCACGAGAAGTCTGCTGTTCCATGTGGGTTAGCTCCCTGGCCAGGGATTGAGCTGGTGCTGCAGAGGCTGCTGATAGCTTCATAGTGCTGAGACTTAACCCCTTGCTCCATCAGGGAGGCTGGAGGTGGGACATTTTTAATGTCCACTAACTTCATAACCAATAATGTAGGCTTGGTTTGTCAGTTACCTGGTGACTGTCATTGTGTAGGGCCAACAGGCAGAACGGAGTGTGGACTGCCTAAGGTCGTTGCGTCCAATATTCACTCACGGAGGATTTCAGGTTTGATTTTAAGGAAGGGGGAGCTGGAGATGGATGTCCTGTTGTGCTTGCCCACCCTGGCTCCTTTCTCTTCTCAATGCTCAGAATCTACACATGGATTCCCCGCTCTCAAATTCTCAGATTCAGAGCAGATAGCACTTTCTCTTATCCAACAAAGACAACATTCAAATAAAATGATCTCCAACACATGGATGATTTTTGCACATTTCAAGTCAAATAATGAATGTGATGTTTTGCCATGCTTCAGCATATTTAGTGTTAAAATTTGAAATTTTTCCAATAATTTCTGCATCCATGCTTTAATAGTTACAGAAATTCACCTCATTTCTCTCTTTGTCAAATACTGCTTTTAAAAATATGTGCCATAAAAAATGAGTGAGACTAGTCAGACATTCAGTCAATGAAAAAGCTAAATAATACCCTAAATGTGTATGGCTGCACATCATTGGTTTTATAGTCTAAAAGAGTTCATGTGCTATTTGGAATATGTAACAACATGATCCTTTTTGAAAAATAAACTAAACTTTGCCCTGAATTCCTCACAGTGTTAATAGTAGTTGCACATGAGTAAATCAAGACAGAATTTGTGCCCTCTGGCACAACGAAGCATATGTATATATTTGCTCTTCAATCCAATGAGGACTTTAAAGTGCAGAAATACTAACATACAAAATAGAAATGAACCTCAATATAAGGGTAATAGATTTGGTTTGTAAATGAAATAAAGCCTTAATAGCTATCTTACTTTCTATTTTAAGTGAAAGGAAATTAACAGAGGCTCTGGATGTTAGATGTTGGTGGATTAGTAAGTATGAATAATTTACTAAGACAATAGCACTGCATTTTCTCTACAAATAAGGTGGACTTTTATATAAAAATATCCATTCCAAGCTACTTATAGTGATCCTCTCTTCATTGCTTTATTCAGTCATGTAACAAATATTTATAGAATAATTACTATGTGAAATATGTACTGTTGTAACTGAGGAATGTAAAAATCAACTAGACATTGATTTTTGTTCCAAAGAAATTAAAAGCCCAGTAAAGATGGGGTCATCAAGAATTAAATGAAAGCACAATATATTTTAGTACAGATAACAAAATTACATGATTATTCAAATTTGTGACTATAAATCTTCCAAATAGGTTATAACTAATGTATTGAGAAATATATTCCCATTTTAAAATATTTCCTATTATATTTGTTTCTTGTATATACAAGGAAGTGATTCAGAAGCTCAAAGATGCCCAATGATGAAAGATTTTAAAAAGTTTTAAACAATTTTAGATATTTTTAATTGAAATAAGCTTAATTTATGGTATCACATAGGTTTCAGGTGTAGAGCTTATTAATAAACATCTGTATATACTACATCATGTTCACCACCAAAAGTCTATTTTCTATCCATCACCTTATAGTTGATTCTTTTTTACTCAATTAGCCTGCCCTGCTTTCCGGTAACTACTATTTTGTCCCTATAGTCTAAAAGTTTGATTTTTTTGTGAATTTTTTTTGTCAAGCAAATATCAGTGAAATCCATATGGTATTTGTCTTTCTTCAAATTTTAGACTTTTGATGCAAAGTAATAGAAGAATGTCTATAGTACTAAGCCTGAACCTACTAATAGACATAATATTAGTGATAATTAATACCTGAATGTATATAATGTTTATTCTCTGGGGGGAAAATGGTATCATATTTTCACAATTTAGCAGGAGAATTGTGAGAATTTCAATTATTAAAACATAATGAGAATTAAATTTTTATTATTAACTTTATAAAGCTTTAAGATAATTATTCATAAAGAAAGACTTGAGCATTCAGTTGGACTCTTATAGTTAAATATGTATTTAGACCTAAAACTTTATCTGAGACTGACTTTTACAAGTGCCTTATGATAACGCAGTGAATAATCATATTTAGTGATGTCCTATTCTATGGATGGCCTTAAGATGTATAAAAAGTATGAAGATAAGGTTTTTGCCAAATTAAGAACTACTGTTTTGTAATAAGACAACCAAATGGGTAAAGTAGTTTGTATTAAGAGGGTTGACTTTGTAGTTCAGAATAGCAAGTTGATTTATTATCATAGAATAGATTTCACAGATTAAAACAGTCTTTACAACAATACCTGCTGTCTTTGGGAAAGTTTCCAGTACGTTTTTGAGATTAGTTGTAACATTATATTGTTTTACAAAGGAACCTATTCAGAAGTTGTTTTTCCCCAGCTTCTTTCTTAGATGTCTAACCTTGATTTTACCGGAGAAATGCTGTGTAAGATCCCTAATTCTGCGGTAACAAATTATCACAGACTTAGTGACTTAAAACAACTCAGGTTTATTATATTAAAATTGTGAAGGACAGAAGTCCAAAATGCATCTCATTGGACAAAAATTAAGGTTTCATCTGGACTTTGTTCCTTCTGGAATCTGAAGGGGTGAATTTGCTTCCCTCCTTTTCCAACTTCTAGAGGATACCTGAATTTTTTGACACCTTATCCCTCTTCCATTTTCAAAGCCAGCAATGTATCTTTTTCAAATATGTTTGCCTTTTTTCCACATTTAATGTCACTTATGACTGCCCAGATATTCCCAGGATTTTTTTTTTTTAGTAATGAACTTAATGTAGTATATACAGGTGTTGATATTTAAAGATGCACATCTAAGACATATTTAATGTTATAATACAAGATTACTTCATTAAAAAAATAAAGTCAACTGATTAGCAACCTTAATTCCATTTGCAACCTTAAATTCTCCTATGTCATGTAACAGAATATTCACAAGTTTCAGGCACTCAGTTGTAAACATCTTTGATGGACCACATTCTGCGCACCATAGATGAGAACAAGTTTTTTAGTAAAGTAAGTATGAATCATTGGCCCTGCATTAACACTCTTTGAGCTGTTCTAGTTGTAGATTATTTTCCCAAAAGTATCTAATACTCCTCCCCCCCATCTTGTTATAGAAGTCACTCTTGGCCTGACTGATATTCTTGATATTCATATCATATTCTTGATATGATATTCTTTGTGACTATGGTTAAATATGTTGTCAAAACAATAACCTATCTAACATGCATTTGGCAGGAGTATTCTTGATGTTTTCTCAAATCAGCCTTAATAGATTTCTAGGAAAAGGAGTAAAAAACATTTGCACAAATCCTGACATATTTTTCATTAAAATAAACATGGCTGGGCCTTCCCTGATGGCGCAGTAGGTTGAGCACTGGGCTGCGAAGCTGCCCGCAGCCTCTGCAACACTGGTTAGTTCCCCGGCTGCCGGCGAGGATCCCATGTGGCACGCAGACCTCTCCTGCCACGCCCGCTGCTCCCCTCAGCAGTGTATTTCATCAGTCTGCCTGTTCTGTTCCCCGCTCTGGCTCTGGTGAATTCTCTTACCCTCCCACATTTCTGACTGTACCCAGTGCTTGTATAAACAAATAAATAAATCTTTAAAAAAAACAAAACCAAACATGGCTTAATATTTTGTACCAAATTCTGCCTTATGGATAGAGTACATTAATGTTTACTCAATTTAAAAAAAATTGACATTTAATTTTGGTGGCAAACTGCATTCACAGTATTGATCATCAATATATTTAAATGTTTAAATGGATTGCCTTTTTTGTCCTCAAGATATATAACATGTAAGTTTCAATAAGTATTTGTAACATTATGTCAAAAATATTTAATCAACATTTAGTCTTATAATATAAATATATTTCAAAAATGTGCCTATAATACCACAAATTTTGATCGCAAGAAGCACAAAGCAGGTACAACTAGACCAAAATGTTCAATGATTTTATTCATTTTTACTCATTTTTTCATTTGTTCATCTACTTATGCTAGAATTTTAGAGGTGGAAGGGATCTTTAAAAAACATTTATTGAAATAACAATGATTTATAACATTATACAGGTTTTAGGTGTACCTTATTATAAACCATTAACTGTATGTACTACTAAAAGTCTTAATTCCACCCTTCACCATAGTATTGACCCCTTTTGTCAGATTTATACCATCCTCACCCCTTCCCTCGGTAACCACTAATTCGATCTTGTACTTTGAATTTTCTTTAATTTTTCATTCTTTTTCTACTTTATTGAAATAGCATTGCCTTAAACACTGCATATGATTTAGGGGAATAGGTTCATTTCTCCTTCGATGTATGTCACCATACCACCTGCATAGTCAAGGTCCCCCTAGTCCTTTACCCTATGCTACTGGACCCCCTCACCCTCTTTGTTCTCACCTCCACCTCTTCTTCCCCTCTAATAGTCTCTATTCTGTGGTCATATTTATAGGGCTTGTTTTAGTTTACTTTTGTCAGTTACTTTTTTTTCTATATTTCACATAGATTAAAATCATTCAGTCTTTGTCTTTCTCCTTCTTGCTTCCTTCACTTAGTATAATTCCCTCTAGTCACACCCATGTTGCCAAACTGGCAAGAGATGATTTTTTTTTTTTTATAGTGGAGATTTCCACTCTCTATATACCACATCTTCTTAATCTACTATGTTGTCAATGGACATTTTTTTGTTTGTTTCTTTATGTACCACATATGAGTGAAATCATTTGGTATTTGTATTTACTTGCCTGATTTAAGTAAGACATTTCATAGGTCATTTAAGGCATAACTAAACCTCACTGTTGGTAAGTGTAAAGTCTGCCATTAGAAATCGAATTGACCCAGCTTTCAAACCAATGCTAATCCTGTCCTAGCCTATAGGAGTATCTTTTTTAAAAAAAAAAAAAATTATTTATTTATACAAGCACTGGGTATAGTCAGAAGCACAGGCGGGTGAGAGAATTCACCAGAGCCAGAACAGGGAACAGAACAGGCAGACTGACAAAATACACTGCTGAGGGGAGCAGTAGGTGTGGCAGGAGAGGTCTGTCGCGCCATGTGGGACCCTCGCTGGCGGCCGGGGATCGAACCAGCGCTGCAGAGGCTGTGGGCAGCCCGGTGCTCAACCGCTGCAACACCAGGGGAGGCCCCTATAGGTGTATCTTAATAAAGAAGCAGAAAGGAAAGAAGAGAGATCTGGAAGACAGTCTCTGAGCAACTGCAAATGCTATTGATACATTGAGACATTTTGTTTATGAAGAAATGACAGAGCCCAGGGTATAATTCATGGAATTCATTTAGGGTGGTTGTGGAAATACCAGATAAACTTCTCATTGTCTTAGTAGCTAGATTTTTTTCTTTCAACAAATGATTTCTGCCATCCAATGTGGAGATTCATTAGAGCACTCACTAGCATTTAAAAAAACAATTCTGATTTTTTTAATGAAGACAGAAAATTCTTTCAGGTCAGAAGCATATATGGGCAAAGATCAGATCAGTCTCAGAGCAAAGATGCAGAAATAGGATCAGGATATTGGAGTTAGAATTTTTGAAGGCCTATTCACAATTTGCTGATGGAATTGTAAAGTAATGAAGGCAATTCCCAAAACAAGTCAAGATGTAAACATCTCCCTAGATCATCATTCAATTTCTAATCCATCAGAAAATATTCTTAAGTCTCACAGTTCCCTTTTAAACCCTGTCTAAAGTTATCCTGGTTAAGGTGGTGGTGTGGGGATTGAAAGCAAGTGCTAATATTTCTGTGGGACACATTCTGCATTGCAGAAGCAAAAAAGCAAAAGAGTAACAGGAGGTTGCATTTTAACTCAATTAAAATTATAGACACTCATAATCTTCAGGTATATGATTTTAAATTGTTAAACAAATTACAACAGGTTTTATGTCAAAAGAAAAATTTTCCAAAATAGAATTTAAAATGTGCTAGAATAAGTTATTTGAGTACAAAAATAACTTATGGTTAATCTGAGTGATTTTGGTACTATTTGACTTTACAAGAAAGGGAAGTTTCTTTTCCACATTTTGCACACAACCCATTAGGTAGTAAAGCAGTTCTAAGCACAAGTTGTGTTTCCAAGGGAGGTTAGGGACTCTCTCCTTGGGGGTCATAAATATAGTTTTCCATCTGCTAGAAACTGTTTAGGTGAAACATGCCTCAAGTCAGGGGCTGGATCAGATGATCTCTGGGGGTCTCTTCCAGCCTTTTGAGTCTTTGAGAGAAATTTCTAATCAGCATGTTAATGAGTACTTTAAATTTGTATTCTGATTTCCTTGAAGATAATTACCAGAGACACTAAGTGGAGAACAGCATTTCTAAATGCCTGTTTAAAAGAAGAAAAAGAAGAAAGAAAGAAAAAACCAGGATTCCTTCTGAAAAGAAAAAAAAGAGGTCATAAAATATGACCCATTTGATATCAGAGAAGGCAATTACCTGAGAAGGTAGGATGGTCCAGTGGTCTTGGTAACATCGGAGAAAGTCCAAAGCTACTGCATCTTTTCCCTGTTCTGATGTCTTGCTGTGTGACCCAGGGCAAGTCACTTGACCTTAGTTTCCTCATCTGAAAAAAACAAGACCCCAGGAGTTGTGCTTGATTACCTGACTAATATCAAGCTACAGGAATTAAATGAAGAATGGAATTTCATTTTGGGCTTCATCACTGCTGCAGCGATGACAGATGGGAATTGTATGAATTGCTTTAGCCCCTGCGCTTCATTAACTGACAGAAGAAAGTCTGAATGATATGGATGGTAAATTAAACTTTGAAAATCTTTTAAGAAATCTTAATTTGGATATTATACAGTTAGTAAATAGAGCAAAATTTATTTTGATTTCTGCATTATGGAAAATTAATTGTGATATCTTCCTGTGTGTTCAGTGAATCTAGTTACTCCAACATTGGCTCCAGAAGTAAAGAAATGAGAAAAATACTTACAAGTTTGGCCCAATATATCCAATTTTATAGTTAGTTTTTAGAGGGAAAAAGATCCTTTCTATTAAAATTAGTATATATCTGCTTACAAATAAAAATAAAAAGTGTATCAGTTCACATTATCTTCTGCCCTCTGTCCATCCTTCCTTTACTCATAGTTAAATAAATTAAATCTGAAATTTATATGTTTCTTGACACAAAAATGTAAATTACACTGGGTGACTAAGCTGGCAGGTTTCCCAACCTGGCACTTAGGGTTAAATTCTTAGCCAGTGTTATTTTCAGCATTCATTTTTTCTACCAGAGTTCAATGCTTATTTTAATAAACATGTCTAAAACATGAAATTAAATAAGGAAGGAATTAAATTTATACATAACATAGAAAATAATGCTTACCAAAATCAGCTAAAAACTGTGTTCCTGACATCAGCTAAAAATCATGTTCCTGACACACTCTTTAGAGAAAGCAAGTAACAAATTTAAAAAAAAAAAAAAAAAAAACTATGGGGATAGAAAGATGAATGGACATTGTTTTTGACCAAATTTGAAAAACTGAAACACCTATACCTGATAAAATCTCTCAGTACTTCTAATAACCATTATCTATAACTTAATACACTATATATTCCCATTAAATTGGAAAAGTCAACCCCATTTTGAAATAAGCATAGGCAATTTGATTAGAGATTGCAACTGCTTGCAACCTTTTGTTGATGAAGAGTGAAGAGAGGGCAGGGATATCACAGGAAACACAGGGATATCTGCAAGAGGTTTGGGGAATCATAAATTCTGGTTCTGACTCTGCTGTTCAGCTTTTAGATGGCATTATACCTTATTCTCACCATCTGTACAGTATGAATAATCATACTTTGTTAACTCACAGGTGTGTTGTAAGGAACAGACAATGAAAAAGTTACAACATATAACCATTGTCAGAGCACAGATAAGAAAAACAAATGTGGTTAAAGGATAAAAAGCAAATGGACTGACCTTTCTATTAAAACTGAGAATCACATTTAACCTGATAACAAAAAATATTTTCTAACAGTGTTTACGTACCCAAGTATTTCACATGACATAATTTACCTACAAAATGTACATGATTTGGATTATTCCAGATTCTATGAGGGTTAAAAAAAAAGACATACTGACCCTGCAGAGTGGGTTCACTCTGAAGTCTATGATGTATTTAATAGTAAATTGCACCTTTAATTAAAAGATTGAATAGGGGGCCTCCCCGGTGGCACAGTGGTTGAGTGCTGGGCTGCGAAGCTGCCCACAGCCTCTGCAGTGCCGGTTCGATCCCTGGCCACTGGGTTAGGGTCCCACATGGTGCGCAGACCTCTCCTGCAGCCTGCTGCTCCCCTCAGCAGTGTATTTTGTCAGTCTGCCTGTTCTGCTCCCTGCTCTGGCTCTGGTGAGTTCTCTCACCCTCCTGTGCTTCTGATTGTACCCAGTGCTTGTATAAATAAATAAATAAATTTTTAAAAATAAATAAATAAATAACTCTTTTAAAAAAAGAAGATTGAATGAGTACTTTATATGAAGAACAGGGAGAGGACAACTGTAACGAGTTGAAGGAATACGTTTTGTTCAAGGTTTTGGCATTTATTAGCATGAAACAGATGAAATGTCCATAAACCCTTGTGACTCTCCCTTCTAAAGTTTGAGTCCAAGGATACCAAGTTGGCGTGTCCCAATTTGAATCAGATGGCTACTCCTGGATAGTTAGATACAGAATAAGAAAAAATCAGTAAGCATATATGGCCAGTAAGCACCCACATTTGCTTATTAGCAGACTATTCCCAAATAGAAGAAAAATCATTATGTACCAAAAAATCACCCCAAGGTGGTGACTTCTGAAAGCATGTTATTAAATGTTAGTGATTCTTTCCTAGCTGAGAGAAAGAGAACATGCTAATTTTTTTCTCTTCATGCTAGAGAGTACATTTTCTACCATCGATAAGCACTTTCTGGTCTTAGCCCTTTTACTCTCAAAGAAGAAAATCTGTTTGGAAATACAAAGTTGGAAGCTGTGCCTTTCCAATTCCTTTCTTTGTAGTCCTTTCTTTCCTTTGTATGACATTTGAGGGTGGAGGATTTTGCTGTCAATATACCACTTCCTTTTACCAACCTCACTTAGTTTCTTCTCTTGTGAAATTGGACCTTCCTCCAAGAAAAATGAAATGCATAAACAAGTTCAAGAGTTCTGGTTCAGTGTTAGGAAAGTCAGAAGGAAAGAGAATTTCAAGGATGGGTAGTCAAACTTGTTAGAATCATGTACAGTGGAAGAAAAATATGGAGCAGAGAAAAAAAGCCATTTTATTTTGTGATTATCTTTGGTGACATTCAAAAAATGTAGTTTTATTAGTATAGGGGTTGAAGTTCAAAATACTTTAAGATAGAGAGCAAATTAATGTGAGAAAGGAAGTGGAGTAAGCAAGTATAGAATACATGCAAAGTTTTGAGAATTGAAGAGAAAATAGATTGCTTTTTGGACATTTGAAATATAACCTCACAATATCCAATGGTGTGTGTGTAGGTCCAGGAAACTCCAAATATGCCTCTCGGGAAAGGTGACAAATGTCTTCATGTGTGGCACAGGACTCCTTGCATCCATGCAGTATCAGTCTTGAATGGGTGCCTGGAAGTATCTTTCCCTTTATCATTCATTTCTTTTCTCTTTTCCATCTTTGGAAAAGATGTGCTCACCCTCAGTTAAGTTGCAACTAATATTTTTGTCTTTTGGTTTCATCCTGTCTTCAGTTTGGATTAATTTATAGCATATCAAGTATTTGAGTGTAATATCTAAAGCCAACCAGTTTTTATTTGGAAGTGATCAAAAGTAATAGGAAACTTTTATTTCCCCAGGAGTGCATTTATAACAACATGAGTTCTGAGTGGAGACAAAGAAAATGAGCTTTATGGAAAAGTGGACAGATGAACAAGCGTACAGATAGTTGACTTATAATACTGATTCATTAAGTCATGGAGGAAGAGATGTTATCTACTGATAAATTTGCAGAATAGGAGTGGAGAAAAATACAGAAATTTTGTAATGAACATTGTGGTGAATAACCTAGGAATCAACACTATTTTGTTGTTTTTAAGGCAAAATTCCACCACTGCCCCCAACATCTGAACAGCTGAGTGAGAGCAACTTAAAATCGTTGATGGCTGAGACTTAATATAATTGATCTTTCAATACAAATAACACATAACTCCATCATGGCTATTCATAGTGTCACTTAAATTGAATTATGTGCTTGCTGAAAATGTCATCAAGAAGATTACTCTATAATTCAGCATTGAAACAATGTTATTTTGTACTCAGGCATGGAAGCAGTAGTGGGACATGAATTTGATATTAATGAAGCAAATATTCATCAGAAGAGGAATGAACACAATTCTATAATTACTTGCAAAGAATAACCAAAAGCTTAAATGAGATCTAAGGATATAAAGTATTTTCACATATTTTACTGAGATGTTTGTAAAATGATTGGCTATCTCACACCAACCAATGCTACTGAAGGAAAGGGAAATTTCCATATACCTAGGAATAGATAAGTGTACTTTCAAATCAGTGAATGGGTGAGACCAATCCAATTGTAGCACAGGCTTATATTTAAGATATTTGATATCCATTAGTCAGAAACTTCCAGTTAATAGAATGGTAGCACTTTCACTGCTAACAACACATGAGTCTGTTGAAGAAAACTAAATAAATATAGGTTTAGTCAAATCAGATAAATTGGTGAATTCTGGAGCTTTTTGATATGCTATAAAATTATACTATCAATAACAATACACATAAAAGATGAAGAAAGGCATGTATCACCATGAATTCATACATAATTGCCAATGGTAAAATGTTTCCTCCATGTTGAATTTTAGCCTCAAAATATTTATTAAGACTATGTCCTCAAAAATATTATTCTGGGGCCTCCCCGGTGGCCTAGAAGTTAATTCTCAGCACTATCAACACTGTGACCTGAGTTTGATCCCTGGACAAGAAGCTAACCCACATATGGAGCAGCAGACTTCTCCTGTCTCACCCAGTGCTCCCCTCAGCAGTGTATTTCAGTAGATCTGCCTGTTCTGCTCCCTACTCTGTCTCTGGTGAATCCTCTCAGTCCCCGCATCTCTGGCCTACACCCCAGTTCTTTTATATATAAAAAAATTATACCCACATACATGGGCTCATGTACAGGTACTTGCATCACACACATACAAATTGGTGGGAGAATTGCTGATGGAATATTTGTTTTTCAAGAGACACCTAGGAACATTTCTTTTACTATTATTGATATATTTTTTATTATGGTGAGAAGTAAAAAAGTAAAACCAACTCCTTTAACAAATCTTAAGTATACAGTATTGCTAACTATGCACATTATTGTAGGATAGATGTCTAGAACTTTCTCATCTTGCATAACTGAAACATTCTGTCACTTAATTCCCTTACCATGTTTATATAGTAGGTATCAAAATTTTATAGACTTAGAAAAGCTATATAACTAGCCCAAGTACTTAAAAGCATCTAACCTTCTATAAATGCTAACGTCAGATTTCTCCTACTCTATATGCCACACAAAAATTAGAAACTTAGTATTTACAAAAGTAGGTATTAGTATTCTTTTAAAAATTCTGACTATAAAATGATGAAGGGATATAAGCCAGCAGATTGTGGGAGATAATAAAATTGAGGCAAGTTTTTTGATTTTTGTTGGGGAGGGAGAATGGACAGAAATAGGACAGGAGGTGCAGTTGCTTTTAGATTGAGGAAGATGAATTATTTTAATTATGTGAGAAAAACAGTTTCAAAAAGGCAAAAGAAAAAGAAGATAATTGTTGGGATGAGATTTCAGAGAAG